CAAAGTCTCTAGTACCAATCACTTTGAAGGTCACTGCGGCAAGTACTCGAGTAGCCTTCAAAATGGCCGAACTGTTCAACAAAAGTAGTATATGCGATCAGAAATATGTTCGACAAAACACCGAGTGCCGCCATCCTCAAAGGTCGCCTAGTGCCTTTCGAAGTGACGGGGACGTTCGCTCTGTTGCCGTGCAGTGCGGGGGCTCTTGAACAGATTAGATTCTAGATTCACTTGGTGGTCGACAGCGAGATCCCACAAATTAAAATTGTCTCCATCACACAGAAATATACGAGTAAGGCATGGTTAGTCGAGAAGGTGCTTGGTTTATCTGGTGATCTTAAGCAATATGGAGCAGACACCCGCGATCGAATATCTAACCGTAACTTTACTACACGAGTACGATACTCGTACAGGGCGTTTTAAATTTACAGTATGGCACTAAGGTGGAGGGGATGTTATTAGTTATCATAATTACAGACGACAGACTCGGACCCTAAAATATCTGGTCAAGAAAAAAGAAAGGGAAAAAAAAAACCACACCCCACCAAGACTCACCTAACCATTGCCCGCCTGCGCGTCGTTTGCTGTGCCCTCCCGGTTTACGCATCGAATCAATGGCAGCCGCAGCTCGAATTCTAAGAATTGGTAAGTTTCCTCCTCGTTTCTTCATGAATGAAATTATTTGTTTGTTAATCTTTCCTCTTAGGTCTCATTCCCGGCGATGGAATCGGCAGAGAGGTCATTCCCGTAAGAGCCCCAGCCGCAATTCGTCCTTTTTTTTCCCCTCAACAAGTGCTAAGGGTTTGCAAAATAGGCCGGCCGTCAAATCCTCGAAGCTCTTCCTAGCTCCTTTAACCTCAAGTTTTCATTTGTAGACTTGGAGGCTGGATTCGAGACTTTTCAGAAGACCGGAAAGGCCTTACCGGATAAGACAGTTGAGGTTTTAAAGAGTGATTGCGATGGTGCACTTTTTGGTGCCGTCAGGTATCGTGTTCCTGAAAATCCCTGATCAATTGAGTTCTGGACTCACACACACACTCCGACTAATAGCTCTCCGACTACGAAGGTTGAGGGTTACTCATCGCCAATTGTAGCATTGAGGAAGAAATTGGATCTATACGCCAATGTTCGCCCGGTAAAGTCGGTTAAAGGGGCAGCGATTCCCGTGGACTTGGTCATTGTGAGGGAGAATACTGAAGACCTTGTATGTTACCGCATTCATCCGGCCTTCGAGGTGGGCTACTAACATCTCCAAGTACGTGAAAGAAGAGAAAACCTACACCGCAAAAGATGGCACCAAAGTGGCCGAGGCGATCAAGAGAATCAGCGCCAGAGCTTCGCAGCGTATTGGCAAGATCGCCTTTGAAATCGCTCTTAAGCGTGCCTCTATTCGTGGTCCGAACTCTACGGTTTCTCCGCTCGTGACTATCACACACAAATCGAACGTTTTGTCGCAAACCGATGGCCTGTTCCGTGAGACCGTTCGTGCGGTATTCGAGGAAAACCCTTCGTACTCTTCAGTTCGTTGCGAGGAACAGATAGTCGACTCCATGGTCTACAAGCTTTTCCGCCAACCATCTTACTTTGACGTTGTCGTCGCGCCAAACCTTTATGGTGACATCTTGTCTGATGGTGCTGCGGCTTTAGTTGGATCCTTGGGCTTGGTCCCTTCTGCTAATGTCGGTGACGGGTTCGCTATTGGTGAACCTTGTCACGGATCTGCCCCAGATATTATGGGTAAGGGTATCGCGAACCCCATTGCCACAATCCGTAGCGTAGGACTGATGTTGGAGTTTATGGGTGAGACTGAGGCTGCTGGAAAGATCTACAAGGCTGTCGACGGTAGTCTTGTAGCAAGAGAGCACTTGAGCCCCGACTTGGGTGGTAATGCTAAGACTCAGGAGGTGGTGGAGGATGTCTTGAAGAGGCTGTAAGATCTTGTTTATCTTTGCATACTGTAGGGAGCTGTGATTTACAGAGTTACATGACCTCTGTGATTTAGATGCCAGCGGTAAGGGGTTCTGTAACGAGATTTTTCAATAGAAGAAAGCTCGTGGTATCATAATTGAAGAACACATTGCATATGGTATGATATTATGCCATACGTGGGAACCGCACAATTCCGACCTTAGTATGTATGATATTGGCCATCTCAAGTTGGTGATCACACATATCACCAAAAAAAGTTAGCCCTAACCCTAATTCTGATTACAAAAATTTCCCCGGAAATCGTACTACTTGGATTGCTGTCGCCCCGCAACACGTCTTCCCGAGCCACGCCTAGCTTACCGGTAGTCTAACAAATGGTACCACGGGTGGACGAAATTTGAGGACCGCTCCGCAGAACCTCACCTCCTTCGGATGGGACTCCTGCCAGTGTCTTCCTTTCCGCTTTCCTGAAATAGAAGCCTTAGCTTAACCATTCGTTTCACAATGCCTCAACTATCGCGGTATTATTCCGTGATTGTCCCGGTCGCCATTATCGCTGTCGGTCTTCTCACTTACAAAATCTACCGATCGACCACAACTCCCCATATCAAAAAGTTAAAACGGTCTAATGCTCGGAGAGTCTCCCGCAGAAATACCCGTCGATTTGGCCCAGTCAATGGCCTTACTGGCAGTGAGGTTGGTGGAATCGATTCTGAAGGAAATGTTATCTCGGACGAGCGCTTGCGCGAGGAGCTCGACCAGGAGACAATCGATATCCCCGACTCTATAGCGGATACATTGGTTGAGGCTGCTGTGGCTGCTCGGGAGGCTCGAGGGGCTGGCGGAGGTATAGGGCAGGATGATCTCAGCGAGTATAGCTACGTCCCGGAGCCTAAGGAGAACCAGAACCTATTAAACTTGCTATATCTTATCGCGGAGGAGCAATCAAAAAGGGATTCATACGTCCACCGGGGGGTCACTTGCAATGCCTGTAATTGCTTACCCATTCGGGGCATTAGGTATCGTTGTGCGAATTGTATCGATTTCGACCTTTGCGAGACTTGCGAGGCCTTAGATTCGCATCCGAAAACACACTTATTCTACAAAGTTAGGATACCAGCTCCATTTCTTGGTAACCCTAGACAAGCACAGACCCCATGGTACCCAGGGAAGACTGGTTTAATGCCACCAGGGCTTCCGGCTGATGTAATCAGGAAGTTTGGGTCTGAAACAGGGTGTAAGATGATCCGATCCCTCCCTAAGATATACACTGACTTGACATTTTGGAATAGTTGAGCCACCAGAAGTTGAAGCTCTCTATGAGCAGTTCAAGTGCCTCGCTGCCTCGGAATACGTTTCAGATCCTCTCAATCTCGGTGGTGCTATTTCTAGGCAAACATTCGATAAGTGCTTTGTCCCAAACACCCACGTGCGCCCTCCACCTCCCAACCTTATTTACGACCGAATGTTTGCTTTCTACGACACCAATAACGACGGGTTGATTGGCTTCGAAGAGTTTGTTCGCGGATTGTCTACTCTAAACCACAAAAACCGTGCCGGTGAGAGGTTACGTCGAATTTTTAATGGATATGATCTAGATGGAGATGGCTATGTGGACCGTAAAGATTTCTTAAGAATGTTCCGTGCTTTCTACGCTCTTTCAAAAGATCTTGTTAAGGATATGGTTGCAAGTATGGAGGACGACCATCTGGAAGCTAATCAAGCATCCAACGTACTAGTTGGTAGCCAACCGATTAGTGCTGCGTTTGCTGGAAATATTCCTCCCGGGACGAGAAGGCCCGGAAAGGAGAGCGACGGTTTGGAGGGTGATGAAGAAGATATAGACCAAGTCATTCTTCCAAGTGGAGATGATAGAGTTCATGGCGCAGAGCGTTCCGAGTTTCAGACTAGGCGCGAACAGGGTGCGTTCTACCAAACAGCCCGGCGGCAGATTATCCCTGATACTACTTGAAGAGGAACACAATGCTAATGATAATTCTCGCTAAAGATCTACGCGGTGTTTCAGCGGAGTCCGCCTCTCTTGTACAGGCCCGCCGCCGTGAAGAAGAACGTCGCCGTGCCTTTTTCCTCGATCTACCGTCCCCCCCCCCGGGGTCTTCAGCCTCCGCAAGTTCTAGTCACCAAATACCGGACCCAGAGAAAGATGTAGGATCAGAGATTCTTTACCAGATCACACAGCAAGGCTTAAACGAGCTACTTGATCTGCTCTTTGCCGCAAAGGAGGAATTGGCTCTTCAAGCTAGAGAAGATCAAGACGAAGATACCCCGGCGAAGAAGGAGATCGAAGCGAGAGGCGGTGAAGGAAAATTAAATTTTGAGGAATTCGAAAAAATAATGAAAGCGAAGCGGGGTGTGGATTTAGGCTTTGTGGGCACCTGGATCGACATGGCTAATTTTTAGGGGAGATTAGGGTTGCGCACCTAACTTTTTTATCTGGAGCTGAACGGTTATTCCTCATTTTCTTTGTATGGGCGGGGCGAACGGTCAGGCAATTTCACGACTTGTGACTTTACGGATTACTTCTTTGGTTGTTTATGTACAGTACAGTACCAGTGGTTTTTCTAATCTCCCAGGGTATTTATGCAATTGCTTTTTCCGGGTTGTATTGTCTATGCTGGCGGGTGAACCTGCGGTTATGGCCACAAAGGTTGGTTGATATTCAACTTGTCATAGAACCTGGTAATAGCACTTGGTAATAGAGGCTTTAAAATCCTTTCTGTAAAGTTTTTCCCATTTGTTGTTGAATCGTATTCATAGACCGTTTTTTCCAGTCTTGTGGTCGGGGTTGTGGAAGCATTCTAAAAGCTTGTATCATGGTACCGGTATTATGGTAACGGGGTACCGCCGGTGTGATTCGCATGGGGGAGGAAGTATGCTGCAGAAGAAAAAGCCAGTGGGCTTCCCGACCAAGTCCAGTGCGTTAACGCATTATAATTGGTGCTCTTGGTTGGGGGTGAGACTCGTGGTATCATACGGCACCGTTCAGCCGTTCACTGACTAGTAGTGTGGCGTTTCATCAACTCCCATTGCGGTGCCCGACGCCATCTCCTGCTCTGATGGCCAAGTTGGCAAGGCGTATCACTAGTACAGACAAAGAAGCTAATGGCGAGATCAACAGTTCAAATCCGTTTCGGAGCATGATTCCATGATTCTTTTCTTCCTAGATTTTTTTCCCTCTTCCTTCTCATATCTCTCTCGCCTCGTGAAGGATCGTATTGATATCATGCAGAGGGTTCCGTTCCACCCGAGGCGCTCCCGACTATCATAGCTGGTAGGCTTTTCGGGGTACCGGTAGGGTTGTAGGGTTCCGGCTCGAGCTTGCGCTTGTGCTGTGCTGTACGGTTACTGGACTCATGTATGATCACTCGTTGGGGTAGGGTTTGAGCAGTGAATGTATATTGTGTGGTTAATATAATAATATTATCATAGCATGGTAATGTATGATATAATATTGGCGTGTCGGGTCATTGGTTTTAGGATTTATCTGGTGTTCCTGTGCACGGCATTCGACCGCTGCCGAGGAGGGCATCGTGAGTCTGATAGTATAATAGTATGATAAGTTAACTTTTTGGTGAGAGTATCATACTCACTCCAGTTTCCCACTTTTAAGGTTCCCGCTCTGTTAAGCCTCTGGAACTGTACTGTACACGTAGAAAAGCTCCGGCAATTTCTTTCCGGGTAGCGAGAGCTTAGAAATAAAACCCGCGAGGAGGGAGGGGGGTGTGGGGGCACGATATAATGTGATTCTAATTGTGATGTTCGAAAAGAGATATATCCGGCGGTGGGAGCAAAAACTGCGATGTCTACAGCAAAAACTTGAATGGTTGGACGGTGTGCTGTGCAGTCCGAAATCCCCTTCTCTGGAGAGGCGGCAAAGATATAGTAGAAGCACAGCACCTTTCCCCCCTTCCGGGACTGGAGAGAGGGCGAAGGTCTCTTGACCTTCCTGAGAGGGGAAAGGCCAACGACATATCATAGCACACCGTCCGATTGTTCAGGTTTTTGACAGTATGGTGTTAACAAAGAGGAAGGTTTATCTCACGATACAGAAAAATAGGTGGGGGGTGAAGGATAGGTGGTAAAAAAAAGAAAAGAAAAAGATGAGAGGATAGGGGAAAAAGTAGCCCAAAGTCTATGAACTGCACACTACAAACTCTGCTCCGTTGATTCATGCGGGTTGCACCTGCTCTCATGTTCACAGAAGGTGTGTTTATATCTAGTTCGTGTCTATATCGGGTACCTTCCATCTATCCCTCTTGTATTACAGCACAGTTGCTGTCAAGTTATGCAATAATATCGTGCAGGGAAAGGCAAAATGAGTCATTGGCAGACATGGAGTAGCTAAAGGTGATGGCTACGAAAAATAAGAGGCAAATAGAAAGGGTGCATCTAGAGATGTGAGGGGGTATGGAAGAGCGCCAATGGACTACGGGTGTGTACAAGATTGATGAAACAAAGCCCCAACCACGCGGTGAGAAAGCACAAATGAGATGACGAGGCATCATAAATGAATGATCCAAAGGGTTGGCATCTGTAGTGACTTGCCAACCCGCATATAAAGAACTGCCCGCAATAGGTTGAGGATTTTGTTTCGTCAAGTTTGTTCCCCTGCTGGAAGGGTATGTGTAGTAGGTGGAGGGAGAAGTGTCGGGTTTTTATATTTGGATATCAGGGCCTGGGGCCCTTTTGGAAGGGGGTTCAGATAGCTCGGACGGCTCGGGGGAGAAGTGTTTCGTTGATTACAGGCTTCTTGCGTAGTCTGGAATGGGATCTGTCCGCTCCAGCAGCAACCCTACAATTCTCCAGCACCCATTCTTGGTAGCCCACAAGAGAGGTGTTTCGCCAGATATGGTGTCAGTTATATTGGGATTAATGTCGTTCCGTTCCAGTAGAATCCTAGTGACCCCCTCATGCCCGTTCCCGGCAGCCCGCGAGAGCGATGTTCAGCCATCATTGTCAGGTGTGTTGGGATAGACATTGTTCCGTTCGAGCAGCATGCACACGAACCCTTCATGCCCACCCTCGGCAGCCGACGAGAGAGGTGTTAGGCCGTATATGATATCAGCTATGTCAAAATTGATGTCGTTCCGTTCCAGTAGTGTCCGCACGACCCCCCATACCCGTTCGTGGCGGCTAACCCCTCACACCCACCTTTGGCAGCCCACGAGAGAGGTGCTTGGTCATATATATTGTCAACTGTGTTGGGATTGATGTCGTTCCGTTCTAGTAGTATCCTAGTGACCCCTTCATTCCCGCTCCGGGCGGCCAGCGAGAGCGGTGTTTGGCCATCATCATCGGCTGTGTTGGGATTGACATCGCTCCGCTCCAGCAACGTCCACACGACCCCCTCATGCCCGTTCTCGGCACCACACCAGAGCGGTGTTCAGCCACCATCTTCAACTGTGTTGGGATTGACGTCGTCCCGTTCCAGCAGCATCCACACGACCCCCTCATGCCCATATTCGGCAGCCTGCGAGAGCGGTGTTCGGCCACCCACTCATCCTCTTTGTCGGGCTTGGGGCCATTTTGTTCCAGCAGCACCTTCACGGCACCCTCATGCCCCCTTCTAGCTGCCCGGGCGATTGCTGTATTACAATTGAAATCAGTTGCCTGCACATCCCATTTATTCATTTCTAATAAAGCAACTGTTATCTCTACACATCTGAGATATGCGGCACCGTGAAGCCCCATAAATCCGCCAGGGGTGTTTTTCCCCATCAAAAGGCCGCACCTGATAGCCCATCCCACACAATAACAGCATCTTCGAAGATACGTGCTTATCATATCCATCGAGCAGTTTCAATGCAAGCACTTTCGCATGTTGAGTGGTTTCCCGCCTAGCATGTGCATCCCAGTAACAAGAAACATAATCGATGAAAGGGGCGGTTGGTGGGGCAGAACAAAGAGCGGGCGATAGGTCCCTGACGTGCTGAAAGTTGAGGTAAGTCAAACAGACCTCCGTAATCACCGAGTGGGGCCTGAGGAACGGATTGGGGTTATGGGTGAGGTACTCTTGGAGAGTGTAGTGAACGAGGCGGACGGTGGGCGAGGACCTCTCGACCGTAACAAGCCCTAGACAGCATTCTAACACTGTTTCAATTGCAGGAATATTGGGGGTATTCAAGTCGGTAGATCCTTCTTCAACCCCCAGCGCGTGGCACAACTCACCGACGTGATGCCCGCTCGGAATGCGATACACACATTAGAACGCCCATGCCGAGTTTTGATCCCCCACTTTGCTGTGCCTTTACTCGTGATAAGGTTGCTGCATAAGCATTACCCGGACCCTCCCCTTTGATCATCTCGTCAAGCTTTTCCCTTCTCTGGTGGAGAGTAATCTCGCCCAGGATCGCATCAATTTTTAGGGAAACGAGAAGGAAACTGGAATCATCGTTAGTGAATAATAACTGAGAGTTGTATTGGGAGTGTGCTTGATATTCTTGCCGCTCACATTTCTGAGACCCTCTCTGGAATCACTCATGATATCCGCCCGCAATTCGTCGTCCATTGCCTTGGGAGTAGTGCCACGGTCCAGCCTCATCTTCAGATAACTCTTAATATCAGCCTGGCCGGACTAACAGATATTTTAACCGCCTTGCTGAAATGTTTCACAATTTCGTCGTCGATATGGGGCCTCCCGGTAAGGAATATCCGCGCGCTGGGTGACACCCGAACTATTTCTCGCAGCGACTCAAGGAGGTGCTGTCGGTACTTTGGAGCGGATTCGTCTAAAGTGTCGATGCATACAAAGACCCGCGGTATCGATATAATAGTCTGCTTCAGGATTTCTACCAGATCGGGAAGTAGGAGACCTCGTCCACCGAAGAATATTTTAGCCTTCTGGAAAGCCTCTTGTATATGCTCCGAGATCACTTTCCCGCGGACAAGTTGCTTGAGGATAGCGCCCAGCATATTTGTGGCAGACGGTTCCTGCTGGGCAAGGAAATCGCAGCACAGTCCCATAACGGCAGCACCTCTCCCCCCAGCCTGGTCGCACAATCTACCGGTTATCAGGGAGCTATTATTTGCTGATCATCAGCGGCATTTGCATTGTCTTCGTACAAGAGGCCTTTCTATCATACCTGAGGTAAGATTTACCCACGCCGTCAAGTCGGTTGCTTTGCACACCTTGGTGTCGTTGGTGTGGTTCGAGTGGCGATGGCTACTGCAGAATTTGACACCCCTCAGCATCTGTTTCTTCAGTGATGTTGACAACATTGTCCGCCAACACGTTAAACGAGTTGATACTACCGGCAACCTGCTGGTGCTCTGGCAACATCTGTGTTATAGTCTGTTATCCGAATATCTTTTTTTGTGAGAGTTAGAGAGGGATCGTACGCAATGAGAATCTGACTGACTTCTCTCGAGGTTTGGGTTTGAGGGAATCTCTAGGCTGAAGATAGCGGGGGCTGTGACTTGTAAGGCTTTGGGGTCGCACGAATAGCATGCGCTGGTCCAAGCATTACGGTATAATACTCGAGTACCGTACCTCATACCGGTGAGCTATTAATAGTGTCCAGAGAGCTCTCGACGGACATCCCTTCACTAGCGGATCCTGCCTACCAATCAGCCGCGGATCTCAGATTGAAAAAAAAAGTCTGGCTTGCACCAAATGTTTGAGGGAAGAATGTTGTTTATGGGCATTGCGTCCTCCGCTCATAACCTAGAGTGCTGTGGGGTACGGCACCTTCTGTTTGCAGTGCCTGTGCTGTGCTGTACAGTGCTGTACATTAACGTACGGTACTTGCGGTACTATTCAAAAACAACTATGAATAGTCTACACAGATGTTTCAATAGATTTGGCGTCCTATCTCTTTTTGAGTTTCTAAAGCGCGGTTAACCCAAACATATGATATTGTAATTTAGTTCGGCTAGTGGTACTAAAGTTAGTGGACTACCGTACTAAACTAGAGCTTGTTTTTGCCATCCCATCGGTCCAAATCAATTATTGGCTGGGTCAAGAGCCCAGGCAATTTCTTCATTCTATAATAAGCTCCCGGGAAACTCTAGGTGTTATATCATACTGTACTTGCAATGGAAACTGAAAAAAAAAATCTCCATATTTTTCTCTTTCTTATAGCCTCCTTTATAATATTGTCTTTACCCTTATCTCAGCAAATCATAATAAAAATTACCAT